GTGGCTGAGGCTGCAGAGGACTCCTGGAGCGGCTGGACGCCCCTGGCCCAGCCATGGTATCCCAGCGCTCAAGGCAGACCCCTCCTGTCCTTGCAGGCTGGGCTGGGTGCCTGCGTGCCAGGTGATTGGAAATTCTGCATCCCCAGCGAGGGTTTGTGGTAACAGCCTGACTCCAGACAGGCTGGGCAGACAGAACTGTTTTTGCAAGCTTCTTCATCTGTAAAATGGGCCCAAAGCCTGCTCCTTCCTGGGTCTTCAGGAAGGGCTTGGTGGATGGGGTCGGGGGCAGTGTATGGGTGCTCCTGGCCAGGACAGCAAGCACCAGCTTCCTCCTGCAGCGAGAGTCAAGGATGGTCCTCTGCCCTGCTCATCCCAACCTCACCCTAGTCCTGCCCCACCGCTAAGGCCCAGTAAGGGCAGGGACCATGCTCCTGGGGAGAATGGGGTGGCGCAGGCCCTGTGGGCTCCCCTTCTACCAGATGAGGCCTCTGATCTCAGCCACACTCCTCCCATGTTCTGCTCAGGCCAGTGCTTCTCCTCTCTGAATGGGACAGCGGGGGAGATGCCCCAGCCTCTAGTCTCTGCTCCTTTTTTCGGACCAGCTGTCACCTCCTGAGCTCGGGCCCTACACCAAGCAACATCAGCCCCCGAACTTGTTGGAATGGGGCCCCTGTGCCAACTCGGTGAGTGTCACTTGCTGGCTCCCTGCTCTGGGCACAGGCCTCTTTCCATCACCAACCCTGTGGACCGCCCTCTGTGTATGGGTACTGGGAGCCTCTCATGGGCCCCTGGACAGGCCCGCCCTCCCAGGGCTCATGCCTGATGCAGGAGACCCATGCAGGCTGCCAGGTAGCTCGGCCAGCGTGCGGAAGGGGTGTCAGGGAAGGTGTCCCAGTGGGGAGAGCACATGCAGGAGGCCCTCTGAATGCCACAACAAACACCTGGATTTGCTTTGATGGCCAGGAATCTCCTGCCAGGGTTGTCAGGGAGAGGGTGGAATCATGGTGGAGACTGGGCAAGGAAGGGCTGGGGACTAGACCACAGATGGGAGCTGTGGAGGGCGGGAACCATCAGTCCCAGGGGCCCCTGCCCTGTGTCCCCAGGGAAGCGGACCCCACTTCTGTCCACTCTGGCTCTTACACTGTCCCACCCTGGGCTCAGCCCGCCAAAACCAAGACCCCTCCCACAAGCCAGACTTGGCCAAAGCAATTTCCCGGCCCCAGAGCACGGCGCCTGGAGCACCGGGAGCACCTGCTCTGACTTCTGATGCCAGAGCAGACGTCAAAGGGCGAGCCATGGCCTGTGGTCAAGGTCAAGCCCTGACGAGCCATCAGGAGCCAGAAGCCCAGGCCTCGGTGCTCTGGGCACCGGCAGGCCGACCCTGTGCCCCCCAGGGGCCAGCACACGGGTCAGGAAACACTTCCGAAGTCCTTTATTGGGCCGGCAAGGCCGGGAGCTGCCCTCGGAGTGGGGTCCCAGGCTGGAGTCTCCAGGTTGGTGGCAGCCCTGTCCGTTCTGGCCTGGGCGGGCGGCCCACTGGCTCGCTACTTGGCGCGCGCCTTCACGTATTCCCAGCCCTCCTTGGAGTACTCGCAGGCCTTAGAGGGGGCCACTGACAGAGCTGACATCACCGTGATGATGCCTGTGGGGAAGGGACGGCCACTGGTGACACTCCCCTCCCAGCCTCACCCAGCCTCCAACCCCAGGGAAACGCTAAACTCTAGGGTTTTTGGTTTTTTTAGAGACAGGGTCTCCCTTTGTCACCCAGGCTGGGGTATGGTGGTGTGATCATAGCTCACTAAAGCCTTGAACTCTAGGGCTCAAGCAATCCTCCTGCGTAAGCCTCCCAAGTAGCTGGTACTGCAGGCACATGCCACCATGCCTGGCTAATTAAAAAAGATTTTTGGGCCGGGCATAGTAGCTCACACCTGTAATCCAAGCATTTTGGAGGCCAAGGTGGGTGGATCACCTGAGGTCAGGAGTTCAAGACCAGCCTGACCAACATGCTGAAACCCTGTCTAAAAAAAA